ACTATTGAATGCATGCTTTGTTCAGCGTATAATCATTGCGGGATTGCTTACTTAACACACAAAAAAATTTGTGGTAGAGTCAGATTGAGGAAAAAGTTAGATCAACGTGCTAAAATGATAATTCAAGCAACGCAGTGTGAAATAGTATTTTATCCCTACACAGTGTCCATGGAAAACTAAGTTATTATAAAGATAATTTGATAACTTCGCGTCAAAACAAGCAACATGTATGAATTCTCACATGCAAATTCACCTGTTGCATGACACACGATTGATGGATATTTTATCTTATTAGCAGCATAATATTATTGGAAATTTTCGCAGAAATTTAATTCATGGAACCATGATAAACGAATCATATTTCAAAAAGTCACAGAGAGAACATGGAACCATAATAATTGAATCATTTTCGAAATGATCAAAGGTTAATTCCAATTTTTTTTTTTTTTTGAGACTTCAAGAATTATACTGCGAGCAACTACGGGTGATTCACGGAAACTTCGTGTTTTGTATCTCACGCCAAGCAGCCAAATGTTATGGGGAAAAGGGGTATTTAATATGAAAGGAAAGGTCCCGCCTAGTCAGTTGCCACTATGCATTTGATACGTGAGCAGCGTGCGTTTGCTGTCGAGGCGTACTTTTCTACTGTCTATTCAATAAGCGCTACTCAACTAGCATTCCGTATTCGTCCTGCAGGTCGGGTCCCTGATCGGAAATCGATTGCTACGTTTACATGTGTGGTTTTAACAATATGGAGCCACGGCCTGCACAACGCAATATTCAATGTATCTTCTGCGACAGCATTCTGCAGAGCGCCTCATCTCCTTGAGCGTTGACCTTTGGGGCCGCCCGATCCCCCGATTTGGCTTCGTGTGATTTTTCATGGGGTTATTTTAAATCAATTGTTTACAATGACTATCCGAGGACGTTAATTATCCATCAGTTTTCATTATACATATTTGTGGGACGTATCCATAAATTAAATTTATGTGAAAATTTCCCAGAATATTATGCTACTAATAAGATAAAACATCCATCAATCATGCATGTGTCATATGGAGCTTCCGAGCCTCCGTTATCGACGTCTGCTTACAAGTATATTCATGGGTAATACAAGGCCTCAGAAGGATTGAAAGAATTTGAAACAAGAACCACCTCCTGAGGCCATGGCTATAAACTAAAAAATATGCGATGCAACTCATCCACGCGACAATACTTCCCGCTTTGATTCACCGACTTGCAGAGCAGCCTTCCTGATTACATCGTCGGCGCTCTAAGTATGAACTCGTTCATGAAGAGACTAGAAAATAGATGAAGCTTTGAAGAAACACATGTTCAGACTTGAAATGCCTAACACCATATCGAATCTGATGGAAGTCTAGCAGCTGTTTAAACTAACCTTAGTTTTGACAAGTTCAAATGACCTATTTTTAGATATCCTGTATATAAGTCACGAAAAATACAATAATCGACGACAGGCCACACCAGGCCTATTACTTAGTGCCGACATCACTATGATATGATAGGAGAAAGAATTAGTTTATAACGCTAGGCACTCATTGGTGGGCGGCTGAACGCAGGTAGGTGGTGTGTCTCAACAATTGCTGGTTTTAGCCAGATTATTTGTTTGAGGTAGTGAACACTTTTGAAAAAAAAAGACACAAAAAATTTCTCACGAATTTGGAAGTTCATTGTAGAAAGATAGTTTAATTATTAAGGGTCAACAATGTGTATTATCTTGATGTGTAGTGTTTAGGAAAAGGATGCGTTTTAATTAGGATGTAAAAAATGTAAGATTGCTTTAGAAAGAATCGTAACTTTGTTGACGAGTATCGTGCGAACGGATTCATTCGGATTTGAGAGAGCGGAGAGTAAGGAAGCCTCTATTCCGCGTGTTTAGGTCTTGTTCCATATAGTCTCAACGGACTTTGTAAAGTAATCTTGCTCAATTTTATATCTGTGTTGTGGTGTAAGATTTCAAGTATATCTTGACCAGAAAAGACTTATTTATGACAACAGTTCCTGGTGGTCCCCAACATCACGAATGGAATTATAAGTTTTCCACTATTGAAGAGGGCTATAGAAACTACATACAGTGCAATAACCACTAATCGTCATTAGTCAATCTAAATAATTTTAGGTGGCCTTTTTTAGCTTAACCCGTTTACAAGTTTGAGTTCTCAGAAATCATGCGTTTGACAAGATCCAAGTGCCTTGTTTGTCTTTTATCATGGCTGATTTATTAAGACAAACACGTGGGCCGTGTATTGATGGCCCTGCATGCAGTGATGCGTCTTGAAAGTAATCAGAAGATGGGAAGTAATCTCAATAAATTATTAACAATTGAATGTTAACTAACGACGAGAATATTGGAGATGATGTAGAATGTAGATGCGAGGAGGATGCAAATATTATCGCGAGGTCACAAACCTTTATTGTGAAATACAAAGATCGTATTGTACAAATAGTCCATATGTTACGAATAGTAATGTTTAAAATAAATTGAATAGATGAAAATAAATACATTTAGTGAAACAAATGAAATTTAAGAAATAATTACGCATGAAAATAAGTTTATTTTGCCTCGCTCATATCGGTTCAATTGATTAATTATTAATTATAACAATATTGATTATCATCTGATTTATTTCTCAAAGACGTGAAATTTGGGAACATAAGACAAGCGGTGGTCGACGAATCAACCGCCCAAGGACTTACAAGTTCTCGGTTTCAGAAATTGAAGAGAAGTCTTTTATCCAGGTTACAATCTGGATGAATTAAAAGTCCTTTTCCTTGATAGTTTTCCCTAAGATGTCGGGAAACTGTCTCTGATAATTGATAAGAAGCTGATAATGAAATGTGAGTGCGTACCAGTGTGAAATTCGCAAGCGATATTTCCTCTTCTCCGTTTAAGGTAATTTTTGCTAGCCTGCAGTTAATGAAGAGGACCTCATCAGCGTATCGAATTAATGAGCTATTGCATAAATACCTTGTTCAAAGATTCTATTTTTATTCGAATTAAAAACAAAATTAGCGGGAGATAAGTCTGATTGAAGAATGAAATTATTTCAACAGAGAAGAAACATTTCAAACAACTTAAAATAATACAAACAGCGCAATGTAGAGTGAATTTTTATTTTCCTGAGATTGCCTGTTGAGTTTAGCTTGTATGACAAAAATATCATAATTTATCATCAAAACGAGATAAGGAGTTTTATACCTTCACATGCTAGTAAATATGATACAACACAAAAATTTGGAGCCGTGGGAATAATTCCGAAACAATCTTAAGGTTCAGAAAATCTGGTAGTTAAGAGATGGATAGCTGGAGTCCAATTCGTAGAGATGAATGCTCCAGCTATCGTCGGTCGGATATGTCGGACCACTGCAAGATGACGAAACTGGTGGGCTCCTCCAGCACAGTGGAAGTTGTTGTCAAGGGTGTTACGGAGCCTGTTGAATTCATGACGGATCTGGAGATGAACTTGCTCAATTGATATACATATAATAAATACATAAATATACATATAATCAAGATTGAAAGTCAGTTTTACAATTAAGCAAGCTCATCTCAAGATCCGTGATCAATTCAACAGGCTCCGTAACACCCTTGACAACAATTTATCTTAAATAGAAGGGATATGACATAATATAATAATAAGATAAGATATAATAAAGATAAGAGATAACATAATAACTGTGAGACGCAGAACTGAAATAATTTCGAGAAACATCACGAGTATATATGAAATCATCATGAATATTCATATGAAATATGAATATAAATCATCATAAATGTGAAATCTGGAGACTGCTAAAAGTATCTGAAGCGACCTCAAAATATTCCAAGCTTCATCTCAGGAACATCGATGAATTGAACTGGCTCCGTGACACCCATGACCACAACGTCAAACCCCGGACTATACTGAGCAATGGCCATTGCAAAAAGTGGGAGTTCTGCGTGAGATTGGAGTAATCTGTAAATTTTGCCAAAAGAAGGTTATAACTTCTTCATTATTTGGAATGTGTTCGGGTGATTGCAGTAACAACTACGACATTGGACAGCCGCTTCTCCTACCACCAGAGACAAGCTCAAAACCAGACCAGGGCAGGTACTTTCAAACATTGCTAAGTGCTCGTAGCGGCTTAAGTACAGCGTAAGTCCGCTAAGTGCGCGTAACTTCAAATAATGGTACCTTTGTAAGACGTGAGAATGCTAGCAGCGCGGTATTGAGTTCCTTAAGGTCTGTGACTCGTGCCAAACGTATGGTTGTACCAAACGCCCTGTGGTTCGGCTAAGGCGTGTAAGTCAGAGCCCAGACTGCGCTAGCGTCTTACCGTTGTGTTTCGAATTGCGGAATGAAACACAGAAGGAATTCTCCTCATTTACTGGAACTAGGTCTGGAGACTAGGTTACACGCTGTATTACAGATTTGTAAATGATTATGGCTACAGGAGTTACTTAATATTGCAATGTCTTAGGTCAGTGATAATAAAATGCATATGTAGCTAAATCATATTTAACAAATTTATATCACTTGTTTGCTTAAATCGCAAATTAACTAAGAATTTAAAAGCAAAGAAAAGTCCACAAAAATTCATATCTTTATAGAAAACGTTTCGGAGACCAGCTCCATCGTCAGTTCGTAGAATCTAGAATCACAAATCAGAAGTCACAAATAAATACATTGAAAGCACAGAACAAAATTAAAAATCTAAATTTACAAGTGATAGACGGAGCAAAAAAACTATCTATTAACAATTTGAAAGGGATAGGAGCTAGCAGCTGAATTCAAACTGGGCCTAAGATAAAGATGTACAGCGATTCTAAAATGCGCAAATCGGAAGTCCCGGAGGTGGAAGCTAACACCCTAAAGTCACTGTCAGAAACAGGGACATCACACTGCTCGGCGTGAGCGCGCACAGCCGAATGAGGTGGGCGCGATAGCAACTGTCCGATTCTACAACTCCTGCCCTTATTATAAAACAATGTATAATATCCAAAGTGATAATCATGAATTGTATACGAAAGAAATTAATAAAATTGCTCTGAATGGTGATGATGACAAAAGACATATATTAGCAGATGGTATTAATACGCTAGCATTAAACCACTATTCGATACGTGTATTACCATAACGCTCGAGCTGATAGGTAGCTGTTTACTCCTATATTCCCATTATAATTACAGGTTGTGGCACGCATGAGCATGAATGGTAGAGCCGATAGATAGAATTTTTCAGCTCCTATATTCGCTTTATAATTACAGGTTACTGCATGCATGAATGGTTGAGTGGATAGGTCTAAGTTTTTTGTCGGCTCCTATATTCGCTTTATAATTACAGGTTACTGCATGCATGAATGGTGGAGTGGATAGGTCTAAGTTTTTTGTCGGCTCCTATATTCGCTTTATAATTACTGGTTACTGCAGTTCTCATTATTGTCGTAGGAACTGAGAAGGATGTGGAACTGCTGCTGATGCTGGAGCTGTGGAGGAGGAAATTAAAAAACTGAAGAATATTGCTTGATGCTAAGAAAAAGCGCATTATGATTAAAGAATTGAATTGGAGAAAATGTAAATCCTAATATGGACGTGATAACATCAAAATTCAATTTTACTTTTCCATTCCAAATGTGAAAATATAATTAAATTCAAAAGCAACAAAAATAAAACACTTAAATATCATTCAGTGTTATATTTACACTCCTCATTTCAAGTAAATTCTTACCAGGGATCCACTCTGCGGCCAGGTCGGGATGATGTTTAAATAGATTAGTTATTTTTTTTTGTCTTCTAAGAATTTCATATAATGGAAGGGACAGTTGTGTTAAGATTTCAAATTTAGCCCCTAATTTACCAATCCATTTCAATTTATTAGCATAAGACATAGAAATACCTATGTTTTCAGCTATTACTGTTTGGATGGTTGAGCTTCGTCTTCCTAACACTTACTGATTATAGTGAATATTACAAAATTGGTGTAAAAAATATCCATAACGCATCTGCTCCTTAAGCAGAGATTTGTGTTTTGATTTAATTACACTCTTTGAAGCAATTAAGAAATTAAAAATCCCCTCATAATCATTACACATTGCTGCTTGCGGATTTAAATTTTCAATTTCATGATTATTTTCATGTAAATGTTTTTTTAGCCAATTGTTAGTTTCCCGTGGCGTTTCAATTCTTCCACCATCACCCTTTTTTACACAGAAAATCTGTCTTACAAATTGTCGGAAATGTTTCGGTATAGGTATTCTATCTTCCGAGATCAATTTCTTCATAATATTATATTGATCATCTCTTAACGCATCATCTATCATTGATTTAACTAGCATAATATCCCATATGGCATTTGTCAGTTTTTCTCTTTCTTCATGCGAAGCCATTCTCTCCAATACTTTATTCCTTCAAATGCCGAAGCCGTCTCTTTTTGAGAATGAACGGCGATATACAACTCAGTTGAAATCTGGAAGGCCGAAAAAATAACTAAGTTATATGCAGAATAGTTACTTGAAGAAGAAATAATATTATGAATAAGGGTGGTAGGTCTTATAATTTTCAACCATCTTAGCTTTTAACACTAGAAACATGAAATTTGTTTGGTTATGAAAATTATGTATGATATGAAAAATCAATGACTAGTTGGACAGTTCTATTATTTAGGCAATACTTTGCAGCTAAATGCTGCATTGGAGTAAAATATTACTCACCTAGATCAATGCAGTAGACTGGAAGATTCAGACGTGAATGGCTGAGTTGGCGGGCGTAAATGAGAGCTTGAATACATTCCTAGCTTTATATAGTGAATTGATCAGGGTCATTCACCCACTCTCACATCGTGAAATCGTGTAATCAACTAGTTACATGCGCCGGTCTGTGCTTGAAAATCATGCTAAACATGGCTCTTCTTACATGAGCGGATGAGATAATGTGACTAAAGCCTCATGAAAGTGGTGCGATGGCATTGGTAACGGTGCTGTAATGAACGTAGCTCACGCTACCCTGTCAAAATTTAGCCGCGGCAGACGGTCTGGTTTCGGTTGTCAGTCTCGGATTAGAGATGATTCAGATGTGAACTGGCCGCATCTCATAATTAGCCGCCCAGTAGGAGCTATTTTGGGTAGTTTCATGGGAAAAAATTAAAGGGTCAAATGATAGGTAATTGGTTAATTTTGTTGGGTAAGATTTAGGGTAATTGTTCGTAATAATATTGAAGGATCAGGGGTAATTAGTTAACTTTGTTGGGCAAGATTTAAGGTAAATGGTTGTGGTAACCTATGATTTAAGCTGTTTATGGAAAATGGCACCATGCGCTCGTTATGCTCTCTACTTATATTCAGTCTCAATCGCATTAGAGTTGTGAGTCTAAGACAGAAAGTGTTAACCTCATACTCCGATCATTATTCCCATGAACTGTAAGCCGTATATGATCTCCAAATAATACTGGACAAACCCTAATGCTGTACCTCATTAATCCTCTTGATCACTATCACATACCAAACCAATCTCAGGTCATATATATAACTGTTAAGTAAGGGTTGCGACACGAAATCTCCCTCCTACAATTTTATCGCTGAACCCCTTCTGAAGGCTTTACATTATTTCCATCTTCTTCCTTATGTTAAATAATAAGACAATAATTGGCTCCTGAAATATTTTAATTATGATTTTTTCGACAGTCCAGAGGAGATCCAGAACCCAACGAGCCTGGAGTGGAGAACTGCCTGGAGCTGAGTTCTGCGCTGTCGTATCGCTTCAGCAACTCTCTCTGCACTAACTCTCGAAGAGTGATATGCGAGACCCATCCCATCTAGAGGAATAATAATTGTCAAATTTTGAAAGCAATATCTTGATTCTTTCATAAACAATCGCGAAAAAATCGCGACTCAAATCATGACCGTACTAATGTCGGCTGCGAGGTGATGTGGCTTACATAGGTTAGATGTAAGCCACATATCCTCTTTTACTCAAAGAATTATTTATACACAGAGAAATAAGAGCACCCTATTGAAAATCAATCACGTCATATTGATGCTCTGCACAGGTATTTTGCATAGGCTGCCAAAAAGCTGCGTTTAGTATCAAGAGGGTTAACGGCCGTCAACTTCATTTTAAAAAACTTTCGATGAAAGCTTTGAGTAATTAGAGAAAATTCTGTTAGTTTTAGACGAATGATATACAGATATTAAAGACAGTCCAGCTGAGTTGAATAAGTATTATAATTATTATCAATTCATTTTTTATTATTTAAGTCCGAGCTCGCATCATCGCCCAATTATTTTTCCAAATTCTTTACGGTGGTAATCCATGTTGAGTAAAGTGAGTTTATGACAAATCTTTTATTACCTTTTCTATTACCTTCTATTTTATTTTTATATCCCAATAAATATTAGGGAAGCAGATAACCTTTATTAGACTTTTTACTTTTTCCAGGTTTTTCGTTAATTTTCATGCGTAAATTTTATATCGTAAAACCCTCCAGTATTTTTCTGATTAAGAGCAACATTCCTTACACAGAGTGATAACCTACACGAAACTCAGAATGATTAAAACTACAACAACACCGAACAACAACCCACGAATTATATTAGCAACAATTTATTCGTTATCTCCCTAACAAAATTTAGAGCCGAGGGCGGCTCTGAATTAGGGAACGCCTAGGACTCGGGGAAAACAGTAAATCAGCTTCTATACATGTATATGTCCGCTTTTTGGTCTACATTCCAATCCCAAGACAGACAGCTACCAGAGCCTGGTCCTTACTCCGGTGGCCGTTGAGCGGTACGTATTAGGGTCGTCCCCGTATCCAGGGCAGCTCTGGCCGAGTCTGACAATGTGATAAAAAATCGCAAATCGCCTCCCTTCCTCTGCAGTGAGAGGAAGAGAGGGGAAATTGAATTTATACGTGATTTACTATCAATACCAGTTTCTGTAACTCGCTGAGTGCAAAAAGCATACCAAGAAAATTCGGAATCGTAGGTTAGAATGTTCGTTGGAAAAACATTTTTCCTTCACATCAGATTAAACAATTAAAAAAATTATCAAGAATCAACTAATGGTAACAATATCAGCGTTGTGTAACCAAACAATATCAGTGTTGTGTATTCTTTGCTATAAGGAATCCTGTAACATCGAAATTTACAAAAGCATTGGAAAATGAACAAAAATTAAAAGAGATGCTATTAATATTCGATTGGGTTGAATT